GAAATATTGAGTCTGTAGAGCCTGATGCCTAGTATTTGCTCCCAGTCAACATGACTGGAATTAACTACTTAAATTCTTTGAATTGAATTCTATATTTGGCAAAATCAAAGGGAAAATTTTTTAAAAAGCCATAGTTTTTTTAAATAAGGTAACTAGTTTGGAGATATCTTATAAAATATAATGTTAAATAGTATTGCTGTGTTTAAACACAAAATATGGTTTAGCATGTATTTAGTGTAATCTTATAGGAATCTTTTAGGGCTTAAAAAAATCTATTAGTAGGTTTAAGAAATTTATTTTCTGGACAGAAGTCTACTCTCATGCCTTTTCCAAATTTGAGTTTTTAGATACATGTTACTTCTTTTATCCTTTCTCAAAGTATGAACAGAATAAACTGTGAACTCTGTGAAGAATATGCTGTGAACCTGTAACATGCAAATCTCTTTTGTTATGGTGGAATATTTCATTAGGGGACGTCACCACACTATTAGTCCAGGGAGAACCCATGTTTAATAATGAAGGTAATCACTGATTTCCATTGCTATCCCACTGCTGCTTCATAAGGCATGCACTTTTTCTCTTACTATTTTCTTCACTGACCATGGACTTCATCTCATGATTTGTTAGTCACAGACTTTACACTGCCCTGTGATATTTGCCACTGATGACAGCAGGAACTGTAGGTGTTCAGTCAAAGCTACTAGGAATGAAATATAGAAAATAAAATGATGAAAAATAAGAGTCACTCCATGATTAAATGGTCTGAAATCACTTCTAGCACCTGCTCAATAAACTAGAGTCTGCATAATCCATGAACCAAAGAGTCATTTACTCTTGTGTAACAGCAGCAAATGAAAAGGAGTCTGGGCACATATCTTGCACTGTGACCAGGAATTCCACACTGAACATGGATGAGAATTAAAATAATTCTCAACAGAATCTATTCCACAGTTTAATGGTGTATTCTCAGTGGTGGTGCTTGTGAAATGTGTCAAAATATACTCAATTAATTGGGGACAAATGTCAGTAATTTTAAATAGAAAGCAAAAGTCTGACATAGACAAGAGATTGAACATACTAACATAGGAAGTACGAGATTGTTGGGGACATGAGGTATCTGGTAGAGACTATAAAAAGTATTGAACTGTGAGGGTGGTTCTGGCCAGGTGCTTTGATAGGGGAGAGATCTGAGCTATTCTTCTTCATTCATCTCTGGATAAGAGCATAAGTGAGCAGAACCTGTTGTAATATATTCAGGAGATATATGATAAAAACGGTGTTATTGGAATTAAGTTTCCCATCCTATAAAATAATTATTCTTCAAAAGTTAAAAAGAAATGTTTAACTTTCCCTTCAAAGACAATAGCGGCATCCTTGTTTTTCTTTCTCATTCCATTAATGATAATGTAGCAGATTTGTTGTGGTGGTTATGGTTTCCTTGTTCACATAGTACTAGCTTAATGTCCTAAATACTATGCAAGTTATATAAATCTGAGGCTTAAAAAATTATTTCTAGAATGGCGATAACAATATGACTATAACAAAGGTAATGTGAGATTCACTTAAAGTATAAGGAAATTATTATGCTTCCTTGTTTTCCACAAAAATAAGAATCTGAGAATGGAAGGTTGTTGCTCTGGGGAACAGGTCCAAGGGAAAAGTGGTGGGAGCATGACAAGAATGAGTCAGAAAAGAAATTAGGCTCACTCAAAAGATACAGTGTGAAGCCAGTCATTACTATAGGAATGTAAACTCAGTCCCTTTGGGAACCATTAGAGTCATCCACCACCTCAGAATAATGGACAATATATTGATCAAGAGTTTCTCTATGGGATGTTACTGCTTCCTTGTTGGCATTGGAGGTGGAAATATATGAATTATAATGACTAAGCATTTTCTAAAGGGATTCCACACAGTAGTTACAGGAAAGCCCCAAGGCAGGAAGTCAATAAATTCAGAGTTATTTGGAATTTATACAGAGGAGAGATACAAGAGCAGAGGTTAGGCAGGTTGAATAGAATGTTACTTGCAGTAGATCTGATGGTCAGGGACCTCTCTTGTCCCTAAACCTGGTTAGATGATCACCCAGGAGCATTAAAATGATTGGGTTGCCAGGAAACTGAAAACAGTGCAATAAAAATTCAGGTTGTACAGCACGTTCAGTGTCATCCCTGCAAGATTAGAGGAAGCAGCTTCTATGAAAGATGTAATATTTTCCAGAACCATAGAGATCATCAGCTTTGTGACCTACAATACACAGCGATCATTTGTCTTACTGGTATTCCACACAGTGAAAAAACTCTAAGCAAAAGTGACGATAGGAAGCATGCTGCTTTCTTAGCAAACAGTGGTAAAGTTTGTAAAACACTCCTATTTAAAGTTAACAATGTCGTGAAAAGGGAGGTTTTTAATCTCATTTTAAAATAAAGAAATTTCAAGTTTCTACATTGTAATACTTTTACCTTTTTTCTCGCTTATTCCTATGTAGTGAGTCAGAATGAAAACCCAGGCAAGTTTGCACTAATCCTGGCATGATAAACACTGCTTTATTTTAATAAAACGTTTTCCTGTGTATTCATCCATAAGCTCTGACACCTGCTCTGCACCTCCAGGGATCCAGCATCCCTCAGTTCACTCAAAGCACGAGCAAAGTTTACCTCCAACAGAATGCATTCCCAGTTCCTCTGCCATGGGTAAGAGCTGATCTCTTCTCAATGACACCAGTTAGGCTTGAAGGAGATTAAATCCTGGGGCTGTGTGCCCTGGATGGCTTCTAATGTGAAATGCCTTCTAAAGGGCAAACAACCCAAGCAGTCAGTAATAAATGAAAACCCAGGACGGTGTCATTACCCAGATGTATTACCAAGTACCGTCTGGCTATATCGTCAAGGTGCCTATTTGCAGAATAGGCCTCTCAAGTGAACACTCCGCTTTCTCTCATGGAATACACCCATTTCCAGTCTTGGAGGAAAACACTTCCTGTGGAACACAGGATCTTTCGGCCAATAAGACAATCTCAGTGCCTGAAAACATGGCGTTTTCCCACAGTAACATTTTTGACATTATATATCATTGTATTTTCTGTGTTTTATAACAAATGAGAAAATATTTGGTAAACTATAAAATCAACTAAAATCATATCTTGTTACTCACTGCTAATTCACTTCAGTGACAGGACTTATGAGTACCAAATGAATTTATTTCATAAGAAATACTTTAATTGGAAATAATTTGTGAACGTTTCCCAGAACTTTCACATTTTATTGGGCTAATAGTAACCTCTACTGGGCTAATATAAACCTTTTAGGCTTTGTGGTATCACTCTGAACTTTTAAGATCATCATGAATTTCTTTATTTTATTTTTATTTACTTTTTTTGGTGCAGGGAATCAAACTCACAACCTCACGCTTGCCAGGCAGGCGCTGTGCCTCTGAGCTGTACCCCGGCCCAAGAGCCCCATGACTAGCACTTAAAATGCACAAAAGTACAAAACAGTGCCCAGAAGTATAACGGAGCTCTGCACTGCTCCTGGGCTGCCAGGAGACTGACGCCAGCACCCAGTGCCGAAACACATTTTTCTCCTCAAAAAATGGAGGAGTACTAGGTTTATTGCATTCTGGAGCTAAGGAGTTCTGAGGTAGGTGTGACTGTACTATATAAAGTTGCGTGTTATTAGTAATAAAAATATTTTGTTAAGCTCCAAGGTGACAGTTTTTAACATTAATTCATGCATATGAAAGCAAATAAAAATATTTTTGCACAATAACTTTTAAGATTGAAAATAGGAACACAGAAAGAGAAATAAAAGCAGAATCTATTTCTCTGCCTTTGTTTGATATTAAATATTTTCAAGTTATTTCCTTTACTTTACATTCTTTGGAAATAGACATCCAAAGAATTATGAGCTAAATTTGGTAAAGCTTAAAGTTTGCTTCTTATCTGTTTCATCAACCTTATTATTCAACAGCACATGGGAACATGTCAGGCAGTGCCAGTGTTGAATGTAAGGAAATGCACTCTCACATGCACTCCTGATCCAGGCTTTAGCAAGCAGGTCCCTGCTTGAGTTACTTCAAAAAAGACCATGTGACAAGGCCCTAAAAGCACAGTGTGCTACATAAAAGTGTTTCCAATCAGATAAGTCCATGTGGGACTAAGACACAGTTATAAATTTGCTTTCCCAGACCAAATTTTATGTCATTGAATATAGTTATCTGAGTAATAGGAACAAAGATGGTTATGATGAATCATACTATTCCTGCGAGTGCTATTGCTAATGACAATTGATAATTATTGAGAATTTATGCAATTGCCACAAAACCCCTCATCTAGATGGTGTTTTTAGCATTCTCACTTCTAAAAAGACAGAACTGGGCAGAGAAAGGCTAACTTTCTCAGGTAATACCGGCAGGAGAACGCCCATAAAGAGGGAATTCCTCACAGTTCAGGTGCAATGCTGTATTCCCTGATCTTGGATGCAAGTTCTAAGGTCTGGTCAGCAACTGCAGGCTGTTGGTGGTCAAAGTGCTGAGCTTTAACAAATGTCTGTGTAGTGAGGTGAAATGCAACTTTTCAGAATAATACAGAAATTGGAATTAATATCTTCAAAATTGTACAGTGTGTGTGTGTGTGTGTGTGCGTGTGTGTGTAGGGTAGGGCAGGTACAGAAGCAGTCATTGCAGACCAGAAGAAAAGTGGGAAGTTTCTGGTTTTCTTTTCTACCCTAAACAAACACACACATTTCACTTTTATATTCACATGACTCTTACAAAGATTAAAAACAACACAAAGTGATCCACCGCCTGACCTGCAATGGCCCTGCAGTAGCTCTCAAGGGAGAGCAGATAATTCCTTGTGCTGCTGTGTCTGCATTCTGAGGCCTTTCTCACTGTGCTCCAGAAAAGCCAATTCCACACCCAAGAGAAGCTGCCACGTTAGACAAGAAGCAGGCACAGTGCTCAGGAGATGGTGTGCTGTGCTCTCCAGGGAGCCCACCTACCTGGTCAGTCTTCCCTTCTGTCTGCACACTGGTGTGGCTGCGGACTTCATGATCCTCTTCAAGATCAGAAACATCCTCAAGTTCCTCTGGGGTCTGGAAAAAGGAGAGCAAGGTATTGCTATGGAAATGGAAACTTCCATTTGAGCAGCTTTGGGAAGGTGTCTGAATTACTTCCCAAGGACAACCACAGTTAACACATGACTCAGCAATTCTGCTCCTGCTGATATCCCCAAGACCAACAAAGGCACAGTCAGTACAAAAACTTATGGACAAACCCTCATAACAACATTACCTAAAGTAGCTAAACAGTGAAAACAACTCAGACATTACTGATGAAGGGATAAACACATGTAGTACATCTAGAGAATGGAATATTATTTGGCCATGAAAACAAACCACATACTGATACACATTGCATCATCATTATGTGAATTGAAAAAGATCAAGTCACAGAGTACACATATCACAGAAGACAAATGTAAGATGAAATGTCTAGAATGGGAAATGCTATAGGAACAGAGATTTGATTCTATAGGAGCTGGAATACTGGGAGGAACAGACAGTGACTGCCAGTGGGTATGGGGTTTCCCTTTGGAATGAATAATAATGTAGAATTAGGTAGTGGGAGTGATCATGCAACCTTAGGAATGTTCTAAAACCATTGATATTTATACTTTAAAGTAGGTATGTACTCTTAGGGTATATGAGTTAAATAACAATAAATTTTGAAATAAAAAGAAAGCAACAATGATATAAAGGAAGATTTTTATTCAGCAATAGCAGTTTGGCTACCCAAAAGGTGATTGCCACAATTAAAAGTGGTTACAGTAAATAAATAAATCAAATAATTATTAAAATTATGAACAATCCAAATGTCACCAAAATTATCAAGAAATTAAATTTTGTAAGGACTTAAGCATTAAATAATTTAACTTAAACTTCAGTGTGCATTATAAACAGCCAAGTCCCCATCTCTTTCTCAACTTCCACTTGACCATCTCCTCTCTGCGGAGGCAGCTCGCTCAGATATTCTCTAGACTGGCCTGAAGGCCTTCCAAAGTGTTTCCTGGTCCCTCTACATTCTCTATCACCGAGAGCTGGGGGCTGAGCTGCTGACCTTGTGTGCAAAAACAGTTCTTCCCTGCTCACTTCCTGATCCCACAAGGTAGTTCACACGCTTGAGAATGAATGAAGCAGGATCGGTGATAGCAGTAAAGACAGCTGGCAATGAGAGGAGCAGATTAGGTCACACACAAAACTTGGTCCTGACTACACGTCATTAGGCTTCCATTTTCCATATTTTAAAGCAAGATTTTATTTTTTCCCATGAGCACGTGGCTATTGAAGACTGACCTCCTGGATCAGCTCCAGTTTCCTTTGACAATGCTTTGCACGGAGTATGGTAAGTATTTGAGTGATTGCCAAGGGCCTGCCTTCCACGGGGGCCACTCTAAAGACAAGGGCACGTGGTGATTAACTCACATTGTGGAACAAAACTCCTCATTTCCTGTCTGCTAATGACTTCAGATTGTCTCATCTCATGAATCTCTAACCAGTGTTATCTTTGTTCTCAAGCACTTGCGCTGAATGCCTCCCGTTCCTCCAGAGGAGACTTTTATGTTTGTTTCAACCATCTTCTATCAGATTCAGTAGTTTCCCACATACTAGTGTCCCCATGTGCTGATCATGTGTAATCTGTCTGTGGATCCTTTTGCACTTCTTTGCTGTAATTAGGAGCACCAGTGAGCATAGGGTAATTTATTCCTTTTCATATGCATTAGTAGCAGGAATTTACCAGTATGCAACTTCCAGAAAAATCATTCATTATTTTGTATATTATTTTAAACTATTCTAGACAAAACATCTATGCAGTATCCTTTCCTGAGTCATCACAGGCCCCTGTACCATCTGAGTATATTCAGTTAATTAAACCCTCTTTCTCAAATCTTGTCACTTAGATTGGAAGCCCCTGGTGCTACTTCAGTAATCTGTTTCCTTTAAATTGCTGCTGTTCTTTACTTGAGCTATATGCTCTCATGTAGGTGTGAATAGTTTCCTCAATCCCAGTGTTTTAGTCAATCCCAAGCTGAAGTAAGACACCACATAGTTCATGCTTTGCTGGTCTGTAACACGGCATTAATAGCTTACTTGCAAAGCCACCCAACTGACCTCTTCTTTTCATAAACAAAATCAGTGGGAGAAAGTTCCTAACACTTTCTGGCAGCATTTCACATTCTCTAAGACAGGAGGGTGGATGGTACTGTGAAAATAGAAAGTTAAATGCACAATGCACCAACTTAAATTAAATGAGAGCTAAGGAACAGATAAGACCTCTCCACTCATTGCTGGGGTGATACATTAACTTCTTCAGCATCAAAGATAAATAATACAAAGGGCAAACTGTTTTTTTTTTTTAAAGGAGGCAGGATGATGAGCTATCTTTCACAGGATGTCTTTAAAACAATAAGATTTTATTTAATTGGTGACTTTAGAAACCCAAAAGAAGTAGGTGTGGGGGTGGGAGTTTGGACCAAGTTTAGTACAATGAGAGATTAATGGCCCCTAAACCTATACCATGTAGCAGAAATATCCCATCTTGTTCAGTGAAGTGAACCTGAATTTGGATTCTGGCCCTCTAGAGCGTGATTCTGGCCCTCTAGAGAGTGATTCTGGATCTTTCACCTGTGTACCTTCGAAACTTTGGTTTCCCCCAAACAAAATGTGACATTATCTAATCCTGAAAATAGCGGTGAGGCTTAATGGCACTTTATCTTTTAAGTTTACTGCATAGACATAGCTGTGATGCAACCAAAATTTATTTCTCTTTGTTGGTTTTCTTCCCTCATTCCCTCCTATCCACCCTTTATCCCATCAAATCCCTATGTACTTTATAACATTTTTAGGTAAATTTGTATCCCTTCGTTTTAATGCAAATTTATTCTTTAACTGAGATTTCAGACAAGTTACCAAATATCTCCACACCTCAGATTCTTCAGCTATTATCCTGGAATGACATAGCACTTACTAGCTGTCTGTTACATGCATTTAATTTTCACTATAAAACTTTATTGTGCTAAACAGAGTTTCATATAGTCCACATGTACTAATTCCTTAAAATCCAAATAAATATTCTTCTTAATTGACTTTTCTTCATACATCAGGATAAAATTATCTCCTAAAGTGGCCTTAGCAAAGATTTACTCCAATATAAATTTTCAAGGATGATAGAAATAATGTATTTCCCCTACACTGGGCTGTTTGTAAACCTGATCAAGATGAAAATGCTTCATTTTTTCCTGAAGTAGTGCTGCTAAAATCACGAATTAATCAGTTGCCTCTCATGTCAGAATTCAGGACAATTATTTCATATTTTTATATTTTAATGCTTTCCTATTATAAAATATTCTGTAAGCAGTCCAAAAGTGATCTGCAATATGATTACTTTCTTAAGCTGTGAAATAGTAAAATTACAAATGTTTAGTGTTATTGTGAAAAAAAAATAAGATGATGAACTGGAACATTATCCAGTAATTAGGAAATATTGAATTTTCAACATTATTTGTGAGTACTATAAATTATCATTTTTCTCTTATAATATTTTATACAAAAGAGGCCAAAATAGCATAGCACTAGAAAATTCCAAGTTGAGAAGCTAAGTAAGAAATTAGTGTGTGTGTGTGTGTGTGTGTGTGTGTGTGTGTGTATTACTCATTACTTTTCTAACATTCTTAGCCAAATGAATGGCTGTATTTTAATTGAAAATTCAAAATTATGGACTTTACAAATATTTAAATTTGAAGTTTAATAATAAATCTTTTGTTATCAAATATCCAGGTCAAAAGATAAAGAAGGAGAAGGAGGAGCAGGAGGTGGAGCTGGAGATGGAGGAAGAAGAGGAGGAGAAGGAGAAGGAGGAAGAAGTGGAGAAGAAGGAGGAGGAGAAAATATAGAGATAAAATGACAGAAGAAAGGTCCTGTGACACAGGAGTTATATCTGGCTTACTATGAGAATTAAGTTTGAATTCTAAGTCATACTCATGATTTAATCATAAGTCATACTTTTCCAACTATCCTCCTCCAAGTTATTAAATTCCAGTAGCCACCATGGTAATGTCAGCTGTGGTCTGACATGCAGAGAAGCTCTTGAGAAAGGTACCAAGGTTTTTATCCCAAAGAAGACACTGACATCACTCGTCACCGATTTAGCTGTGCTGCTAACAAAGTGTGATTTTGGAGGGTAAAGTGTAGAGCCAAGAATAAAAATAGGAATGGATATTCCTGTTTTAATGTTTATTAGTGCACATTTCAGTACATAAAGATTACACGGCTTGTGTGGAGTTGATCCATGTACATAGCTCATCTTTATTCCTTCCTTCATCCTCTCCCTCATTTTTCCCTCCCTCTCTCAGTCCCCTTCCCGTTTGACAAAGATCTAACTCTTTACCTCCTATTAGCTATCTCTTATTTTGCTCTTTATTTGTAATTTGAGTTTCTCTTATATAAGAGAAACCTTGCAGTATTTGAACTTGTGTGTCTGATTTATTCCATTTAACATTATGGTCTCATGGGATATTGATTTTTGTACTAATGACTCAAATTGATCTTCTTTGTAGTTAAAGATAGATTACAATGATACACGCATACTCATGCTTACAAGGGCACAACTTTTAGTAGCTACACTTTGTAAGCAGCCTATGCCTCCAATAACACACAAAAGCACTGGAATGTGGTATTTGCCTGCAGTAGAGTACTACTCTGCCATTATTTCCATTTTCATTACTTTGAGAAATTGCCATAATATTTTCTATAGTTGTTGAATGTATCCTTTTATATCCCCACTGGGAGAATATAGGAGTTCTGATTTCTCCACATTGTCATTAAGTCTTATTTATTTGATAGCCGTACTTTGTAACTGTGTTTTCACTTTTTTGTTTCAATTGTTATACAGAACATGTTTAGCTTAATACAGTCACACTTGTCTGTTTGTGTTTTTGGTGTTATACTTGATGTCATCCAAAAATCATTTCAAGGCCAATGTCCAACACTATTTCCCCTATGTATTCTTCTAGAAGTTTTAGTTTAACTATTAGGTT